CCCATCAGCCTCCCCTCCCCAGTAGCCTCCCCTCCCATCAGCCTCCCCTCCCCAGTAGCCTCCCCTACCCATCAGCCTCCCCTCCCCAACAGCCTCCACTCCTCATCAGCCTCCCCTTCCCAGTTAGCCTTCCCTCCCCATCATCCTTCCCCCCATCAGCCTCCCCTCCCCAGTAGCCTCACCTCCCCAGCAGCTTCCCCTCCCCAGTAGCTTTCTACTGGAATCCAGCATATTCTGGGCACTTGACATTCTAGAAGCCTGTGTGCCAGGCACCATGTGGGCACTGGTTATGCAGAGATAAGAAACATGGTTGCAGTTTCACAGGCTGGTGGAGGGGTGTGGGGGAGAGGGGTTTGAGGAGCATCTGGTAAACAGATCATCAGTACCACTGAATGATGGTAGCTCTTAGAAGAGTCGATAGCAGCAGGAAGGGCAGCACTAAGATGTTGCTTAGGTCCTAATTTCCAGAGAAAGACAAATTGACTTCTTCCCGAGAAAGTGGAGAACCCCAGACTTACAAGCCTTAAAAAAATTTTTTTTGTAAATTTTAAGTACAATCTAACCCCCAACGTGGAGCCCAAACTCAGGACCCCAAGAGTTGTATCCTCTACCGACTGAGCCAGCCAGGAACCCCTGGACTTTCAAGTCTTACTAGAGTGCGCCATCTTCTGGTCTGGGTCGTGACCACCTCCCAGCCTGTTTGAGGGCCAGGCCCTTCGGGTATCACACACTTGTGACTGGAAAAGAAAATCACTCCTCTACCCCTTAGAGGTGTTGGTTGGAGGACCTTAAAACCACTCTTCCACTTTACTAAGAGTAATGTTGGGAAAAGGAGAACTTGAAGACTTCTTTCATGGGTAAAAGAATCTAGTAACATCCCACTTAAAAAAAAATGTTAGGTTTAAGATCTGCACAAAATTGGGGGTGAGAGGAATTTGATGCTGTTCTGAATGGTAATGTAAATAACCACGTCCGATGCAATTATGTTGCTTTTAGGAACATATTTCTCTACCCCAATAGGGATGTCGACTGTATTGTCTAAAACTAATGGATGTCTCTGAGGGGTGCTGTGTGCACAAGCATGCGAGTCTGTCTCAGCCAGAAATAAATCCTATCACATATCTTGCACTCGTGGGCAAGTCTAAAATAGAGAAGACTTTGAATGCCAGTGCCCACCCAAAGCTATTATGCTGAAGCCCCCTTGTGGTGTGGGGCTAGAGTGAGTGATTCAAATGTAAGGGAATGAACTGTTGGGGATTATTGCATCTCAGGTTGGGGGGAGGGGGTAAATGCTCCAGTGTGATGAAGTGCTATGGTCATAGGTGGCACTTCTCTATAAAGAAGAGGTTCTCATGGTCTGAGAAAGCAATCTCTTGGAGATGGGGTGGTGTATTTAAGTCTGGATATCAAGGAAAGAAACTGGAAAAGAAGGAGCTGACAGTTTTTGAAGGCATTTTGGTTTGGTTGTTTTTTAAATTCAGTTCTTATTATTAATTTCTTCTGAGAGAGATAGAGTCAGCAGGGGAGGGGCAGAGGGAGGGGTAGAGTCCACAGGTGTGGGGGCCCAACACAGGCTCCATTTCACCATCATGAGATCATGACCTGAGCCAAAATCAAGAGTCAGAGGCTCAACCAATTGAGCCACCCAGGCACCCCTGGTTTGATTGCTTTTTAAATGTTTACCTCTTGAATTGTGAGGAGAGTCTTACAAAATTTCCCATTTTACAAATATGCTTTTCATTTATGTTACAATCTCCTTAAGTTCCTCCACCCTTCAGCAAGGTGCATGAACGGTCTCATGATACGGGCGTGGAAAACGAGAAAATCGAAGTCTGGCTGCTTTGTGCTCACAGGTCAACTGATGACTAGTCAGTGGGAGAGAATGTTACTGGCCCACAGAGATCCAAGGTGTGGGAAACTCTGTTGTGCAGAAGTGGGGGGGGGCGGTTACAGAACAGCTGTGAGCAGAGGGGAGTAGCTTGTAAGCCAGAGGGGCCTCTGTTGAACGACAATCCTTGTAAGGCACAGCATCTCTTTCCCAATTTATACTAAAGGTAAGCAACACTTGAAGTAGAGAAAGCTGATGCTTGGGTTATAGATAATATGCAATCTTTGTGTCAGAGATGCCCTTGTTCGCCACTGTGGTCCAGAGGACTCACAGTCTCATTAGGCATACAGAGAATCCTCTGTACCTGACTGCTGATTACAGCTCTTTCAAAAGAACCTAGAGCCCTGTTTCATCAGATCCCTTTCTTTTTTGAGGCTCAAATCCTTTGACATCCCTCTGATACATGGTCACTGTGTCATCTGTCTCTTCAGACTAGTAAGCTCCATTTTTCATTTTGAAATCTTTTCATTTCTAGGATGCATACTTTATTAGTCTTCTAAGGAAGGTAGCTGTATCATATCCTATAACCTGTAACTCATCTCTTATTCCTCAAGGGAGTATCCCAACTTGTTAAGGGGCTGACAAAACATCCATATTCCTCAATTCATTCTGCGCAGGAGCTGTCCAAACATTTCCTGTTCTCAGGGCAAAGTGATGATCTTACCTTTGGCCCCAACTCCCAATGTAAGGCTGAAATTAAGCCCAGAAGAGCTCCTAAAATCTGTTGATGCCAAGAGCCTAGCTCTCCATTGTCAGCCTTAGAAACAGATTCTCCACCCACACTTTAGGCACTTGCTGTGATGATTCCCATCTGCTTTCTAAGAGTCATGTGAACAGACTTCGGTGGTCCTTGTGATTTAACTCAACTTTATTTTTCGGACACAACTGATTAAACCTTTCAAGCATTAAAATCTTTATTCTTAATGAGCGTGATCAGGTGACTCTCTTTTGGCGAATTTTAATTTATATTCAAACATAACATACATAATTTTAAATTTGTAAGCTTGGTTTCTGTGATAGCATCACTAGAGGCACAATTTTGCTCAAGAGCTTTTGAGCTATACTGTACCAAGCTAGGAACTCTGGAGCAGAATCTCAGTGTATCTTAAAGCTCAGCTTTTAAAAACATCTACATCTGCTTGAACTCTCCAGTTTTGCCCAAAGCATCATCACTCCATATTCTTTCACTCTCAACTCCCTTAGATATTCCTTGCCTAGTCTCTGAAAGCATTTGAGTTTGCTACTCTAGATTAAAACAATTTTTTAAAAATGTTTGTGTGTGTGTGAGAGAGAGAAAGAGAGCGAGCGAGCGAGAGCGAGCACTTGAGCAGGGGAGGGGCAGAGAGAGACAGAGACACAGAACCTGAAGTAGGCTCCAGGCTCTGAGCTGTCAGCACAGACCCCGATGTGGGGCTCGGTGAGATCATGACCTGGGCAGAAGTTGGACGCTTAACTGACTGAGACACCCTAGTGCCCCTTGACACTCTGGATTTTAATTCATTTCCCTCACTCTGTGGTTGAGAAAACTAGACCGCAGAGAGAGGAAACAACTTGCCTGGGAAAGCTACTCTGGAGAGTTGAACATAATATCCTGCTTTCTCTGCAAACTTTGTACTATGGCCAAAATCAACATTTGTTACCAAAGAATAACAGAGAATCTACAATTCCCCCAGCATTTCAGAAATTAGGGTTCTTTGGGAATGACAACAACTTCTTGCCTGTTATGTGTGTCCACACAGGAAGAAATTTCACCTAAATTCAACCCCCTAGTCTGGCCCACCTCAAACTGACCACAGACGCCTGGAAAGGCGAAGACGCGGTCCACCAGGAACCTCCTCTCCTAGCTCACGTTTCTACCCGAGCCTCCAGAGACCCGGACCGGAAGTGTCGCGCCGCCGGCGTACAGAACTACCTATGTAAACCGCTTTTGCTCTGGCCGGAAGAGAAAGGTGCAGCGCTTGGAAGGCTCCCCTCCTAATTCCGGTTTCTGCGCTGTTGCCGTTGCAGATGAAGGAATGGATAGCTGAAAGCATCCGAGACTCTGGTTTGCGACATGCAGGGCGGAGGCCACTGCCCCGATTGCGGCTCCACCGAGCTCGTGGAAGACTCTCACTATTCTCAGAGCCAGCTGGTGTGCTCAGACTGTGGCTGCGTGGTCACCGAGGGAGTCCTTACTACCACCTTCAGCGACGAGGGCAACCTCCGAGGTATCTGTGCCGGCCTTTCCAGGGCCGTGGGTATAGCCTGGGGTGGTGGAGGGATTGACATCGATTCCTCTTCCTGTCGCATCCCCTCGATGTCATGTGTACACTTAACTACGGGAGAAAGTGACCTAAAGTGAAAGAGTGGGCTGCAGGAGGTCAAGGACTGCCATTCCGCTGTGTTTTTCTAGCACCTGGTAGAGTATCCGGCATATTTAGGTCTAATAAACGTCGACCAAATGACACAAAGAGAGAAACGAAGTTTCACCCAGTTTACCTAGTCCGAGTGTGATGGAAGGATTGTGGGTCAATTCTTTACAAATACGGACAAAATATTAGCCAAAAGTAGCCTTTCGCACGAATTGACATTTTTTTTTGTTTGTTTGTTTTGTTTTCTGAGTCCCTGACCAGTGCAGCCCTCAAAATAAGCAACCAGGAAAATTGCCTGGATTGGATATACAGGAAGGATGACTGCAAATGTGGAAAACGTGAAGCCACTTTAGTGCAGTCTCTGTATTTGCTACTGCTTGTGAACATAGAAACCCGGATGGACTTTTATTTGTTTTATTTTTAAATTTTTAAAAATGTTTTTAATTTATTTGTGAGAGTCAGAGAGAGACAGTGCGAGCAGCGGAGGGTCAGAGAGAGAGGGAGACACAAAATTCGAAGACAGGCTCCAGGATCTGAGCTGGCTGTCAGCACAGAGCCTGACGCGGGGCTCGAACCCACTAACTGTGAGATCATGACTTGAGCCGAAGTTGGACGCTTAACTGACTGAGCCACCCAGGCGCCCCTATTCTTAAATTTTTTAAGGTTTATTTATTTCTGAGAGAGTGGCAAAGTTTAGTGGGGGAGGGGCAGAGAGAGAGGGAGACACAGAATCCGAAGCAGGCTCCAGGCTCCGAGCTGTCAGCACAGAGCGTGATGTGGGGCACGAACCCACAAATGGAGAGATCATGACCTGAGCCGAAGTCGGATGCTCAACCGACTGAGCCACCCCGGCGCCCCCAGATGGACTTTTAACGTGCAAAAATGGGCATCTTCGTGAGACAAGGAGTAGAGCCTAATGATACGAATTCTCCCTGGGTTTGTGGGGGGAGGGGGGAGGCCAGGGGTCTGGTGAATAAAAGCTAAACAAAGCGATTTGTTTTCCCTTATCTTACAGAAGTAACATACTCCCGAAGCACAGGGGAAAACGATCAAGTTAGCCGCAGCCAGCAACGAGGTGAGAATCAACCTTTCATGATACAGTGGCCTTAACGAAAACTCAGTTCTGATGGTCTGACCCATCCTGTTGCTTTTCTTGTTTTCAGCATTACTGTGTAGAGTAGAGTAGAAGAGAGTGGTAGTCAGAGATAAAGAATGGAGATGGTTCTAAGAGAGGTAGCAATTCAGTATACAGTTTAGATTTGTTAGGGGTATGTATGTTAGAGGTTGGTTCAAGCATCCCAGACCACACTTTGGCTTGGTTCTGAATCAGACCATCTCCTAAAGAGCGGTGGGTTGAAATGTGACTTCTTTCCCCAGACTTCTTTGTGTCTTTAGAATGACCTCACCAGGTGTCACGTTTGTTATCTTGGAAAAGCATGTTATTTGGGCACCTGGTATGGGAGCGAGCTCGGCAGAAATTGCCAGGAGCTGCCCAGTAGCACCTCTGACCCGTCTAACTCTGGCTGTGGGCTTTCTTAGGGCTCCGCCGCGTGAGAGACCTCTGTCGGGTTCTGCAGCTGCCGTCGACATTTGAGGACACGGCCGTCGCCTACTACCAGCAGGCGTACCGGCACTCTGGGATCCGCGCTGCCAGGCTGCAGAAGAAGGAGGTGCTGGTGGGGTGCTGCGTCTTGATCACCTGCCGACAGCGTAACTGGCCCCTGACCATGGGGACCATCTGCACCCTGCTGTATGCAGACTTGGATGTGTTTTCTGGCACCTACATGCAGATAGTGAAGCTCCTGGGCCTGGACGTGCCATCGCTGTGCTTGGCGGACCTGGTGAAGACCTACTGCAGCAGGTACCCGCCTACTGGGAACCCCTGGGATGGCAGGGATCCTTGGACCTGGATCCTTTTACCTCTGGCTCTCGCTTTCTCCCCAAAGCGCATCTAAAGGGATTTGGGAGAGAAATCTGTTCTTTCTCCCTCGTGCTCTTGCATTCTCTCTTCCTGATACTTCCTAATAAAGCTAACTCCATTTTACATTTCTTAGCTGCTTGGCATTTCCACATCCCTTTGCCCTCACTGCATCCTAATGACGCAGCCAGCGCAGGTATTAGCCTTGGCCCTGGGCTGCCAAGTTGCGGCTCTCACATTGTGCGTGGCTGTGTACGACCGCCTTGCCTCAGCAGGACCATATCTGCGAGCAGAGGGGACAAGGTGTTAGTGACGGGGCTAGAGGTAGAAGCCACTGCTTTTTTTTTTTTTTTTTTAATTTTTTTTTTTAAGGAGCTGCGTTCTTTTCTTTTTCTTTCTTTTTTCTGAAAAGTAGAGCAGAAGGCTACCAGTGTCAAGGTGTGTTGGGTTCGCTTGCTTACTTCCTAGCTGGGTGACTGTGGCCAGAGTTTTAACTGTAAATTCACGTAACGGGGTGTAGAGGGGATGAAAGGAGAACGTGTGCAAAGCGCTCAGACTGATAAAACTGTTGGACTCCCTCTGCGTTCTCCTGCCCTTCACCCGTCTTCTCTCAGCACCTGTGTAAACTCGCTGCCCAGCGGTGACAGAAGGGCTTGCCCACCTGGAGTGGGCGGCTTTTCTTTACTCGGGGAGAGCAGTCTCCCCTCCCCCATGGGCACTGAGACCAGACTCTCTCCTTTTGGTCATTTCAGCTTCAGACTGTTCCAGGCTTCCCCGTCGGTGCCAGCCACATACGTGGAAGACAAAGAGAAGATGCTGTCGCGAACGCTGCAGTTGGTGGAGCTGGCGGACGAGACGTGGCTGGTGACCGGGCGGCACCCCTTGCCGGTCATCACCGCTGCTACGTTCCTGGCTTGGCAGTCGCTGCGGCCATCGCATCGGCTCACGTGCTCCCTGGCCCGCTTCTGTAAAGTGGCGAACGTGGAGCTGCCCTGCCCTGCGGCCTCCCGCTTGCAGGAGCTGCTGGCCGTGCTGCTGCGGATGGCCGAGCAGCTGGCCTGGCTGCGTGTCCTGCAGCTTGACAAGCGCTCGGTGGTGAAGCACATCGGCGACCTTCTCCAGCACCGCCACACGTTGGTCCGCGAGGCCTTTCGAGAGGGACCGGTGGGGCTGGAAGCCGGGGAGGAGGAGCCGCGGGGACAGTGCGGAGGGCCAGGGCAGGGAAAAGAGGAGGTGGCCAGCGGTTCCTGCGGTTTGCCTGTGGGGAAGCGGCCGGCTAGTCCCGCCCTTCTCCTCCCACCTTGCATGTTGAAGCCCCCAAAGCGGGCCTGCCCCCCACCCCCAGTCTCCACAGTCACCGGAGATGAGAACATATCTGATAGTGAGATCGAGCAGTATTTGCGTACCCCTCAGGAAGTGAAGGACTTCGAAAAAGCTCAGGCTGCAAGACAGGCTGCCAGGAGTGTTTCTAACCCTCCCTGATGGGCAGCGGTGGGGGAGGCGGGGTCAGGGGGCACCACCACATTCTCACAGCAGCTTCATGATCAGCCTGTCCTCTCTGGAGAAATTGGCGTGTGTGTGTCCTGAGGTGTTTTCTTGTTTGAGGGAACCAAGGCACTCTGCAGTTACTCGGACCCTGGGTCCTGGAGTAGAGGTTGGGAGCAGTGCAGGGACAGTCGGGTTGGAGGGAACCCCGTCCCTTGGTGCCAGAGAAGTTGCCCCTATTTGTATTACAAGGAAGGGCCTTCCTCCTAGGATGGTTGAGGGGGGGGGGATTAGGCTTTTGCCTGGTTTGAGATGGGTACAGTGCTGCTGCAGCAGGCCTGCTGGGCCCTCGCTGCTGGTGCGGAGCGGCCGGTGGCATTTCAGGTGGCATCGGCCCCCAGAGGACAGGAACCGGGCAGCTCTGGGCCCCGTGACCGCCTGTAGGCACCAATGGGTTCTTGTGTATGTACGGGATCATGAAATCCTCTACCTCATAACAAAAGGACCGTGGGTGGACTGAGGTTATAGCTCAAGGGCTTTGCAAAATTTTAATATATTAAAACAAGAGGCATCTGCTAGAAAACATTCTATTGTATAAAACTCAAGCTTTTAAAAACATGTTTTCTTTGGCACTTTTCATCCCCTCCCTCCCTTTTCCCCAGCGCATTGCAAAAGCTCTCCAGTGCTAAGGCGTCGGCGGGGCGTGTGAACGGCAGCCAGCGTGTGTGGAAGAATAATACGAAGCTTTTTTTTTCCTTTTTGTCTAATATTGTCTGTGCAGCAAGCATAAATAACAGGATTCTTCCCAGGGGGTGTGGGTTTTCTCCCCTCCCTTCTGTCTTTTGTGTCTTTTGCCTTAGTGATCAGGCTGCAGTGACATGGACACTGGGAGGGGACTTAGACCAGGTCTTGTTTTCCTGTTCTTCACCAGGCCCACGTTTCCCTTCACTTCCACTGGGTCCAGTAAAATGCTGGTGGTTGCTTTTTAGGTTGGGGGAGAATATGGGTGCTGGTGTTTAAAAGTAGTGAAGGCACAGGCCTCAGGTGAGCTGTGGAGACCCTACCTGATACGTTGGGGGACTCAGCTTGGGACTCTGTGAGGCAGGAAGCCACTTTAGTGTTTGGGAAGTTTCTCCCTAACTTGACCTAGTCACTTCCTGGACTTGTTCTTCCACAGGCGTCAGGGAGGCAGGGAAGTGCTCTTCCTCAGCCCCGGGGTGTCAGGAGGCTGAGATGGGGGATGTGGGTCTTAGGGCAGTAAGCGCTTCTCCAGTACCGACTGCAGCCTTGTGGTGGGGCCTCTCCCCACCCTATAAACAGAGCACTGTTTATAGGGCCAGGCTTAGGGCATGACTGCCTTCAGCTCCGTATCTAAGCACTACTGCTCTCTATCTCCCCCAGATCCTTCCCGAGCATCTGGCAGAGTCTGCTTCTCAGGGGTAGGGCCTTAGCTTTGTCGTGAGACGCCACCTCTAGAGCCATGCTGTGTGGTTGGTGGACCGCTCCTGTGGGAAGTGTCCCACTGTCCCTGACTGTGCGCCCTTTCCACCCGCCCCCAACCCCTTTCCCTAGAGCTCCATCTCCAGCATTGCTTTCACAGGGTTCTACCTTCTCTTGCATAGTTTCTCATAAAAGCGGCACCTCTGGGTCCTGGTCACCTGGCTCAACTGCTAGGCTGGCCCCCTAGTTGGCCAAGAGCAGGGTGGGGGAGAGGCCCTGGGATCCAGGCACAGATGGCTGACTTAGAGGAGGGCAGTGAGGAGAGAACCCTGTTCTCAAGCTCCTGTCCTCTGTGACTTCCCTCCCAATGAGGCTGATGGCCACCGCGGAGGCAGGGTGGATAAGCTGCGGGGAGTACCTACGGAGGAGCCCACCTGGGGGCTGTGCCGGGCAGCCTCCCACTCCACAGCCTGCCGGGGCCTCCCCCCGCTACCCTGGAAGGCACCGACTTGACTGCCACAACCAGCCTGGGCCGGGGACGGAAATGTATCATGCATGTGGTCCTGGGATTGTCGCTACCCCCAGAGGGACGGCCTTCTTGGCAGCGGCAGGCCTCCGCCTGTCGTTTTCCGCGGCCTCCAGGACTAAAGCTGGTGTGCCCAGCCACAGCCGTGGGCACCTCTACCTCAAACCCGTTGACGTACCGGTTGACGTCTTTGAGGGGCCCCCCCCCGACAGCCTGGGTGCCGGGCCGCGTGGCCAGTCTGTCCTACAGCGTCGTCCGCCCCCGCCCTAGACGGTGGTCTCGCTCTTCCAGAGGCCCGTCTTCATGCAGGCGCCTCCGGCCGCCTCCGCGCCCGCCATGGTGATGTCGTCGTACTTGGCCCCCTTGGGCGCGCCGTTCAGACTGGTCGCGTTGAGAGGGTACGAGCGGCGCTTGCTCTCCCTCTCCAGCGCGCCGCCCCCGCCGCCCTTGAGGTTGTCGCGACTGGCGCTGCGGCGCTGGCCCGGCCGGCCGGCCTCGGGGAGCGGCGCCGCACTCGTGTCGCTGCCCTCAGACGGCGTGAGCATGGGCTCGCCCTCGAGCTGGAGGCCCGGGCTGTTGCGGCTGCTGCCCGGGTAGCTGTCGGACGGGCTGTTGTGCAGGCTGCCGCTCTCGCTGGACAGCAGCTCGGGCGCCCCGGCCGCCGCGCCCCCGCGCAGCGCCTTGAGCCGGTTCTTGGCGCCGGCCTCCCCAGCGCGGTGCCCCTTGGCCCGACTCTTGTGCACTCGGCGCCCGTGGTGCAGGTTGTTGGCGTGGCGCGGCGCGAGGCTCCCCCGAGAGCCCGTGGGCTCCGGCTCCGCTTCCCCGCGGGCCGCCACCCCCACCTCGCACGCCTGACTCTGGGCCAGCTGCAGGTTGGTGAGCTTGCAGGGGCCCAGGGGCGGCGCGTGGCCGCTGCTGCCGCTCGGGGACGACTTGAGGGAGGGAGGCCCCTCTCCGAATACGGGGGAACCGTCCTCTGGGGCGGCGGGCACGGCCCGGGGTGAGGCGCCGGAGGCGGAGGCGTGGGGGCAGCAGGCACGCCAGGAGGCCCTAACGTCCCTGCGCCTGGCACAGTGGTGGGTGAAGACGAAGAGTCCCAGGGCGGAGGCCGCCACCCCGTACAGGCAGCTGCACACCACCCGGGGCAGCCAGCGCTGGGACACGGCCAGAGCCCCGCAGGCCCACATGGCCAGATACAGGAAATGCGTGGTCACCAGCGCCCCCAGTTGGACTCCCGGAGAATAGAGGCCGTCACCATCCTCCAGGGGCCCGGGTGTTGCCACCCCCGCGCTCCCAGTAGCCAGAAGGGAACCTGAGTCATTCAGGAAGGGGCCGCTGCTCCTGAGCCTGGTGGAACCCCTCAGCTCCTCCGCTGGGTCCAGGGAGACCCTGCTGGTGCCCCCCTTTGGGCTCTGGGCCAGAGGACCCCGTAAGCGCAGCCCTGCACACAGGAAATAGATCCAGGTGATCAGCAGGATCAAAGCCACCGGGATGTAGAAGGCTCCTAGGCTTGGACGCCACACCAGCCAGCAGCTGAGGGGAGACACAGGCAGTGGGTGAGGAGGGGGAGCATGTCTGAGGGGGCTGGGTGACAGAACACGGTGAGCGGCAAGGCAGAGGCTGGCTTAGTCGGCATGCATGGGTTTGGGTTGGGTCACTGGCTGGGTGGGCCTGGCAGGTGCCCCTGCCAGGGAGGTGGAAGGCATCCAGCGTGAGGGTGGGTAGGTTTGGGGCAGGCGGGCAGCGGCGCTCACTAGGGGCTGTGGTCCCGGTAGTTGTGGATGTTGACAGCAGCTGTGATGCCACAGATGATGAGGGGGATCCCTCCGGCAATCAGATAGAACCTGGGGAAGAATGCGGTTTGGGGGTCAGAGAGATGGCGAACCAAGGGAATTGGAACCAGGTGCTCAGAAACCTTGACTCAGGGTCTCTGTCCCATCTTCTTTCCCCTTTAAATTCCGTCAGAATGTTTTGCCTGGGATGCAAGGCTCCCACAGGGCAGGCTCAGTAGATTCCTAGGGGACTTGGCCGAGACCGTTCTAAGGGACAGAGAAATCGCTCTCTCACCTTAAACACTGCAGACATCAGGGTGCTACTCAGGTGCGCGGGATTCCTGTCCAATGCCCTTTGGAGTCTCTTCCTTCCCTGGCTTTGTCATGCCGCAAAAGCCCTAGGGATGCACCCACCCCGTGGCCCTGGGCAACCGGGGGCCACCTAAGGCCTTGCCTCTTCTCTCTTTGGAGCGTGATCTCCCAGGATCTTGGACCCACCCTGCATCCACCCTGGGAGGACAGAGTTTGGCGTTCTCTACCCGCCTCTGAACCCTTCACCCTTGCAAAGCTGACAGTTGGAGGCATGTACCGGAGCATGGGACGGGGAGCGGGCAGGACAGAGTCCCCTTCTTGTGGAGGGGGCGCTCTCCAGGTGAGCTCCTTGTGGAGGACGCGGGCCTTCACACCCATCCAGAGCAGTGTGGACAGTGAAGAGTAGTGCAGAGTGATGCCCACCTGCAGGGTGAGGCCACTGAGGCTGGGGGACGGGGCTGCTCCTACTGGAGCCGCCCCAGAGCCTCAGTGCGCAGTATTCTCCCGCTCCTCCCGAGTTCCCATTCCCAGCTCTACCCAGACCCGCCGCACGGTTCTGCCCCTGCAGTCACCTGCTCCACTGCCACCCCAGGGTTCTCTCCCACTCTGGAGACTCGACGCCCCTGCCCTTGCTCTTTGGCTTGTCCCTGACCTCTCCTTCCTGCAGCTCCCCATGCACCACTTTGAAGACCCAGCTCCTACTTTCTCTACTTCTTACCACCACCCCTCCTCTCATACCCCCACCCCAGCGAGGTTGGACACAACAGCGGAGCTGGGGCCTATTAGCACGAGTCCCCCTTTCCCCCTGCACCCCCCCAGTCTGTGCCTAGGGTGCCATCACTCGTCTAGGAGCACCCCCCGCCCCGCTCCAGCCCCTTTTCCTGCTTACTGCCTGGCAGACCATCTGGTAGTTGGTGAGTGTGATGCCTCCTGCAAAGACGGCAGAGGTCATGGCCATGTGGAAGCACAGGTTCAGCAGCATGTGCCAGCCCTTCCGGGACACATGGATGGAGCTGCCCCAGAAACAGTAATTAATGGGCCACTCAACCCAAGATCAGGTCCGTGGGGTCTCAGGGCAGTTGGGAGAGCAAGGGGGGAAGGCAGATCATCTTTGTGCATACACATGTGCGGATGTGATAGAGGCCCCAGGGCAGGAAGGGCTTAACCCCCAAAATGTGTTCTCCAGCCCTAGAGCCTTCTAATAAAATGCCGGGCAAGGGCCTGGGAGAGTCACGTGGACCCACTTGGGAAAGGGACACTTGGCCAGTACTTGGTGAGACCCTCGGCCCTCCCTCCACGCCCTCCCTTCCTGCAGGGGCTCCCACCTGTGGTTGAGGATGTAGGTGATGATGGTGGAGAAGAGGCAGAGCAGGAGCAGTGCGGTGCAGGGGTACACGACAGGATGCAGCCCCGCCCCGGAGCCCCCCACCTCCCTGGGGAAGGCACTCAGCTCCTAGAAAGAGTAGGAAAGAGGAAGTATTAGGAAGCCAGGGGTAGAGGCCACCCCATGGAGTCCTGGCCAGTCCCCCAGACACGGTGAGCTGCGGCCCCTAGTCCATCCAGGTGGGTGAAGATGTAAGTGCTGTGAGTCCACTCTGAGAAAGGCAGTCGTAGGCAGTGTTAATGAGCTACTGCCTGCCTTTTCCTCCCTCCTAGTCTCTTGCCCTTCCGGGGACTTTTCTGATCCTCAGTCTGAAAATCAGAGATGAGGAAAGAGGGGAAAGTTTCTGTCTACTATCTG